GTTTCTGAAATCCTTCAGCAATTCTGAGTACACAGGAAGTGGGCGGAAACTGGATGCGACCTGTCACTCACTGTCCTTCCTTTGGTTTCCACAACCCCATCTCACAGATGAGAAAAGCGAGGTTCCCAAAGGCCAGTGACTTCTTGGGGGGCTGAGTGGCATGGGGGACCCCCCGCCCGCCAAGCGCGCCCTCCCTCCTGGGCCTGTTTCCTCATAGGTAAAGTGGGACGATCAGCTGAGGGGACACCTGGCCTGGGCCCTAGCTCTCCCCATGCCCACAATAGGGTTCTAGCCCCCCCAACCCCGCCTGCAAATTCACTGGGGCATTTACAAAGGAAAATATGAGCTGAGGAGGATGCGGTGGCTCACGCCTGTCATCCCAGCACTTTGGGAGACCGGGGCAGGAGGAGCTTGAGGCCAGGAGTTGCAGACTAGCCTGGACAACATAGCAAGACCCCATCTCTACAAAAAAATTTTAAAAAATGGGCTGGGAGTGGTGGCGCATGCCTGTAGCCCCAGCTACTCGGGAGGCCGAGGCAGGAGGATCGCTGGAGCCCAGGAGTTGGAGGCTGCTGTGAGCGAGGCTGACGCCACGGCACTCTAGCCCGGGCGACAGAGTGAGACTCTGTCTCCAAAAGAGAAGAGAAGAAAACAGGAGCCGACCCGCCTTTGGACCTGGGCAAGGAACACCGTCACCGTGTCGGCTGTCGGGCACTGCACACCTGGCCAGTTCCGCCTCACACTGGAGGTGGCCACAGGGCCCCCACTTACTTGGCTGGGTAGCTTTGAGCTTCAGTGTTCTCATCTGTAAATGGGGACAGTGATCCCGCACCCAAGGGTGGCTGCTCCGGTGAGATACCGAGTGTGACAGAGACCAGCACACACGGCACCCCCTACCCCACCGGGAGCCCCTGGAGGCCGGGGCGGGCAGTCAAGGAGCCACAGCAGGAAGTGGGGGGCCCGTGTGGGCTACCTGGAGGGCACCCAGAGGGCAAAGGCCCCGGGAGCATGGCCCCCGCCAGCCCCCGCCGCTCCTTACCTGCTGCTCTGCAGGGCTGAGGCCCGGCGTCCTGACCGGGGCATGGGGCACCCCAGCCCAGCGGCCTCGGTTCTCCGGGAGGGGCCGCAGCGGCAGCCCGGAGCATAGTTCCTGGAGGCTGGACATGTCGAGCCGGGATTGAGGCCGGGTCTGTGGGAGGCCAGGAGGAGACCGGGAGGGCGGGGAACTCCACCCACCCCAGGGCCACCTCCCCAAGCCCCTCATTGGGCCCAGGGCCGGCGCAGGGAGCCACGCGCAGGTCGCAGGGTCACTGGCCTCCGGGCAGGCTGCCTGCCGTGTTGACTCAGGGGAGGGGCAGCGTCCTGGGGGAGAGACAGGCCCCTTTCGGGGGGGACGTGGGCCGGGTGGAGCTCGGTCTGCCCCTTCCAAGCGGGGTGCTGGCCTTGAGCGGCTTGTGTTTCCTGTGATGCAACTCTGGGGGCGTCTGGCGTTAGGGTTTGCCCCGAAGGTCGTATAGGGGCGTCACACCAACCAAGTGACGTAGGGATTTGTGTCTTGACGATGAGAAGCCACGTGACGTCGAAGCTGGCACAGAATGCGGCCGCCCCTCCTCCCTGCCACCTGACAGGTGTGGTCATCACCCCACGGCAGCAGGTACACCTCTGCCGCACCCCCTCCCCAAAACTCTCCGCGAAGGAGCTCCCCGGGGCCTGGCCCTCATCCCCAGATCCATTCACGACTCTGCTGGAAAGCACTCCGTACCTTAGCCTGTACTATAGATGGGGAAACTGAGGCCTAGGTCTCACGTGCACAGCCATGAAGTGGCCACAGTTGAATTCCAGTGGTTCTGGGAAGCCACAAGGGCAGGGTGAGTGGTCGGGTATTGAGGCAGAATGAGAAATAAACGAGCCGGGTGCGGTGGCTCACGCCTGTGATCCCAGCACTCTGGGAGGCCGAGGCGGGAGGATCGCTCGAGGTCAGGAGTTTGAGACTAGCCTGGACAACATAGCGAGACCCCGTCTCTACTAAAAAAAATAGAAAGAAATTCGCTGGACAACTAAAAATATATAGAAAAAATTAGCCGGGTGTGGTGGTGCATGCCTGTAGTCCCAGCTACTCGGGAGGCCGAGGCGGGAGGATCGCTCAAGGTCAGGAATTCGAGACCAGCCTGGGCAACATAGCGAGACCCCACCTGTACAGAAAATGAGGGAAATTTGCTGGGCATGGTGGCGCACGCCTGTAGTCCCAGCTACTCGGGAGGATGAGGCAGGAGGATCGCTTGAGGTCAGGAGTTGGAGGTTGCTGTGAGCTAGGATGACGCCACGGCACTCTAGCCTGGGCAACACAGCGAGACTCTGTCTCAAAAAAAAAAAGAGCCTCCGGACAGCCTAAAATCCACAGTTCCGGAAGGGTGGCACACTGGAGAATGCTCCGCGGCCCTTCTGTCCTGCGCCATCTTGCCCAGAAGCA